AAACAACAAAAATCAAGCCAACTTCCTGGTACAAGGTTCCTAATTAGAGATACTTGTAACACCAAACTTGACTTTGAACTCCTTCACTTCCCCATACACAGGGCGTGGGCTCTGGATGGCCTCTGAGATGCACAAGTACATCACAACAGAGTTCATTATTACAAGTCTGGAATGTGAAAAGTCTGGTGGCAGCCAAGGAAGCCTGACAGTCCGAGTTAGCACAGTGAACTGTGTTATCCCTGAGCTCTAGCACTGCAGAAGAGCAGAGCTAGGGAGCACTCACTGATACAACCATCGTGCATAGTTCTAAGATGCTTATAATCATTCTTTTTACATATACGTACTAAGGTGTGCCTCACAGAAATTATTTTGAACATATCTTCATCGTATTATTTATAGACAGCAATTATTTTCATGATGACAATTTAACGTCTTCCACTCGAAGCTTAAAGCTTTATATCAGATCTAGTGGGAAGGAAGAACAAGTACTTCCCCAACATCCTCCATAAATAGCTTCGTACATGACTGTTGTTAGTTAAGTGAGCAACTGCACACTATAGGACTGCTTCAGTTGACGCTCCCTCCCTTGGTTTAAAGGTCTCCGCTGTCCTGTGGCTCCTGAGGGCTTTACAGCATCTGCAGTCCTGCCCTATATTCATTCATCTGTAAAACACTCCACAGTTACCAGTTAAACTGGGGCCCAGGAAAAAAAAAAAAAAACCTGTTTAACACCACAGTGAGGCTCACAAGTACCCGCCCCAGAGGCGGAGGGACAGCTCTGCAGAGGACTGGAATTCGATTCCCAGCACCAATGATTGGCTCACAACTGCCTGTAAATCCAACTCCAGGGGATCTGAAACCTTCTTGTGGCCTCTGCAGGCACCGTATGGACATGCACACACAACACACACATAAACTAATTTTTTTGTCTCCCTGTAGCCCCAGCTTGCCTGGAATTCAGTATGTAGACCAAGCTGGCCTTGAACTCACAGAGATCCGCCTGCCTATGCCTCCCAAGTACTGGGAATAAAGTCATACACCACTACGTCAGGCCATAAACTAGGTTTTTAAAGTAACAGCACCTACAAAAACTTGGGTCTAGCATGCTTCCTGCACTAACACCCCTTGTATGTCCAGGAAACTTTAGTATGTCCAGGAAACTTTAAAGGAAGGTGAAAAACTCTGGTGAGTAGAACATGATGCATAACTAATCCCAGCACTCAGGAGTCTGAAGTTAGCCTGGGCTAAGAGTTGAATTCCTGTATCATTTCTTAAATCATTGTGATATAGCACAATCAAAGATATTTGATAACAAATATTCAGAAACATTAACTGTAAGAGAAACACCACTATACTATGGACTCAAAATGGAAAAACTTCAAAATATTTTGTCCCCACTTGAAAAGAAACAAACGCAGAAAGCAAAGACAGGCAACTCTAGCCCCACTCTCTGGTGTTTGCTCTTACTGCAAAGCCAGGGCCTGCCAGCCACCACATCCTGCTTCTCTAAACCCAAAGGACCACATCAGTTGGCCCCATCTTTTGGTGTAAGGGGAGGGTGGGGAAGTGGAACTGGAGCTTACAGAGGCAGAGGTCTCTGAGGAATCGGTCCCTGGGAACTGTCCCGCTCATGTTTGGAATCAGGCCTCACTGGGACCTGGTACTCACTGATTGGCTAAACTGGCTATCCCCAGTGCTGATGTTACAATGCATGCACTCCTATGTCTAGCTTTTTGTGGGGTGTTAAGGATCCGACTCAGGTCCCAGTCCAGCACTTCACCAACTGAACCATTCCCCAGCCCAGCAAGCTTCAATCTTTTGCAGTCACCTCTTACCTAGAAATACCTGCTATTTTCATAGGAACAGCATTGGTTTATTATAGCAAAGAAGAAAGAGCTGGCCGTTTATTCTATGTTCCTCGGAAACAATGACCAAAAAAAAAAAAAAAGATAACTACTGTCCAGAATGTATTTTTATGTTTGAAAGGCTTTTCCTATCATCCATTTATTTCTCAACCACTTCATATCTACCACATCCCAGATTCACTATAAACTCCAAGAGAGCTTTCTTTATGGTTTCCTTATTGTTAATGCTATTTTAGACATTGGAGAGTATACAAAAATAATAAGCTTGATCATAAGGCAGCTACCAAAACAAATACAAATTGCAAAACATACAGCAATCCAAGTGCTACATAAATACATGCACATAGGGCTGCGGCAGTAAATATAATTAGGATACTTGGAAGAAGCTTTATTAAAGAGTTGAGCCTTAAATGATGACTGCGAATCAGTTAAGCAGAAGAAACAATATGTGCAAAAAAAAGCAAAGGCACAGCAAGCATTGGGTGACAGAAAAGCTGCATTTCTTCAGGGAAAAATAAAGGCTCACTGACAGAATGACACTGGAGAATAACTTGGAACCAGAAACAATGAAGTTCCTCTAACATTCTGCTAAAGAAAGTCGCCTTTACTGCACAGGCAGTCCAGGCCCCCAGTCACAGAGGTCCTCTATCACACTGCTGAAGAAATGGGCCTTCAATGCCAGTGCAATTCAGACTATCACATTCCAAGCAGGGTGTGATTAAGCAGGGATGTTACACAATCAAATGTAGATAGACATGGAGATTGTCAGCAAAGCAAATCAGAAAACCATGGTATCAACCTACATCAGAGTTGGCGAACCCCGAGAGCAGAAATGGGACAGAAGGGGCGGGCGGAGAGGGCAGGTGCATCTACAAGGTGGTTCATAACTTGCCATTTTTTTTTCCAAGACTAAGAAAGATGAAAGAGGAAAAGCAAGTATAGTTGACCTTTCTTGTAGAACATTAAGAGAAATGATGTCACTAGCTACATTTAAGAGCAAAGGAGAAATAGCGTGTTCTAATATTTTTCCGAGAATGACAGAAAGACCTAACGCGTCAGTTTAGAAAGTAATTTTTCAAGTTTTCTTCTTGTGTTGTTTTGCTGGTGGTTTTAGCTTAATGTTTTTTTTGTTTGGTTTGGTTGAGACAGGGTCTCCCTGTAGCCCCAGCTGATCTAGAACTCACTATATAGACCAGGCTGGCCTTAATTTGACAGCGATCCCCCCCTGCTTCTGCCTTCCTACTGCCAGGATTAAAAGTGTGCACCATCACGCCTGGCTTGGTCTGGATTCTCTGAGGCAGGGTCTTGGAAAGTAGTCCAGGCTGGCCCTCAAACTCAAGTTCTCCCTGTCTCAACCTTTCAAGTGCTAGGATGACAAATGTGTGCCGCTTTGCCTAGCTCATTCTCTTTTTCAAGGTTTCTGGGGAATATCAGGTTAAGCTCTGGAAAGTTCTATAAGCTGTGAGATAGTACTCAAAAGGCATGTGAAGGACCACTGAGAATGCAAGACCTCAGATGCCTTGGTGGTAAGTTTCTAGAGTTAATTTCACAGCCAAAAGAGCAAAGATAGAATCTAAATGGAATCTAACAAAAGACAGCCTAGGAGAGACACAGAGAAGTAGGATTAACAAAAAAAAAAAAAAAAAAAAAAAAAAGGCCGGGCGTGGTGGCACACGCCTTTAATCCGAGCACTCGGCAGGCAGAGGCAAGCGGAAAGTTCGAGGCCAGCCTGGTCTACATAGTGAGTTCCAGGACAGCTGGGGCTACAAGGAGACCCTGTCTCAAAAAGACGGAAAAAAAAAAAAACAAAAAAACAGATGACAGCACTTCATCTGAAATTAGAATGCTGTATTCTAATCTGAAATTTTGCTGTATTCACAAGGCAGGAAACATGTTAAATGACCAGTACCCCAGCAACCACGTGACCACATGCTACAGATCGATGAAATACAGCACAGGAAAAAGAAGTCAGGTAGCAAACCCTAACTCCAATGACAGCTACATGTGCAGCCAGACAGGAAAGGCAGCCCAACTGGACAGAGGCGGAAAGAGGTTTAAGGCATACATGACGCCCCTCCCAGAAATCATAAGAACTGTGAGAGACTGACAAACATTACTATCTCATTACCCAAGAGACAGACCAAAGTAAACTCATAAAGCAGATGAGGCAGAACCTTATTTGGAACACTAAATAACTAATTGTCCTGATTTCAAATATTTCATCCTTTTGTTGAACCATGAGTCCCAATTTTATTTAAAGAACAGGGAAACTAGAACATAAGACAAGAGAAAGCAGAATCATGTGGAAAGACTAGATAGACCAGGGTAGCCTCCAACTCAAGGTCCTCCTGCCTCAACCTCCCAAGAGATGAGATGTACAAGCATACAGCACACGAAGTGGCACAGTTTGAAACTACCAGATGCTTCAACTTCCAGTTCGTGGTACCATCACTAGCTCCATTAGGCCTCAATTTCCCCACCTACAATTCCTAAGGGTTTGTTTGTAGACAGAACAATACCAGGTACCCTGTGAACAAGAGTGTGCCACAAATGCACAGAAACTCTCTTTAACCCTGACAGCAGCGACGTCCATTTCGCTCCCGCAAGAACTAAAAACACCATTAGGTTAAAAACCGAGTTCCTCATAAGAAATCCAATATAGCTTGTTCAGATCTCAAGGAGCCCTCCAAGGCCTTCTCACATCACCTTCATCATCATCTGTTCAGGTAAGGGGAGGGGGGGAGACTACCAATGAAAATCGGAGCAACCGGGGCAGCGTACAATGACTCGCCCAAGGTCAAAAACATTACAATGTAACATGCCAGGCTTGCCAGCAGCTCAGGCCACGTCTCGGGTGCCTCCTCCAGCAACCGGGTGGAAACCAGAACTGCCCCTTCCCGAGCCTCACAAAGCGCCGTGGGGGTGGGGGGCGGCCCGGCGGGAGCCTCCCGAGTACCCCAGCCTCCCTCCAAGCATCCAGCACCTGCCCACCGCGGGCGCGGCCGGCTCCCACACCCATCCCCAGCCCCGGCCCCATCCCCGAGGCCAGGAACCCGGAGCAGGGCCCCCAAGGTGAAGTTTGCCCTGCAGCAGGGCCCCGCCCGCAAGGCTCGCCGCGTCCCGAGTCTCACGCACTTCGGCGGTCCGCATCCCGACCCCGCAGCCGCCAGCTCCGTATCCAGCCCCGGGCCGCCCAGCCCGGTGTCTCCCCCACCAGCAAGCCCCTCCTCCCGCCGGCCACCGTGCAGAAACGGCTCCAGACTTCCTCCGTGAGCTCCGCCCTTTCTCAGCCAGGGACCAGCCAGCCGCAGATGACCGACGGATGTAGGAGCCAATCAAAACTCAGACTCGGAGGTGGGTCGCTAACAGAAGGCTCCTGAGACCAATTGGAATGCGAGGCGAAGGGGCGTGGCCCGTGAACCACGCCCCGTATGTGCTTCCGCTCGCGGGGAGGAGGCGAGGGAAACTTTCCCAGAGTTCCTTCGAGCTACCCCAGTTCCCGTGGGCTCAGGCGGCGGCAGGAGGCGCGGTGGGGGCTGGGGTCAGTAGCTAATTGGGTGAGGAGGGGGCGGAGCATCGTGACACTGCCCCATCCCCCGGGCAGCCCCCTAAGCATTGCTTTCGGGAGCCAGGGCAGCCCGAGACCCCGGCTCTGCAACCGAAGACACCGGCTCTGCAGTCCGAGGCCCCGGCTCTGCAACCGAAGACACCGGCTCTGCAGCCCGAGGCCCCGGCGTAAGCCGGTTACGAGCACTCGGTCGTGGACTGCTGACCACGCTCCGGCCTGGCTGCCTGCGGAGCTACTTCTGTCCAGCCAGGGTGCGAGTTCGGGCCTCTCGGGCCCCTCTATCCCACTTCAGGGCTTCGCCGTACAGCTGTGCACTCCAGGCCCTGACGTCTCCTGTCGCCGTATCCATCCCGCGCGAGGGGCAGCTTCAGGTCTTCAAATGCTCCCACCCACCCTAAGCTGCACAGGCTCCCAGAGCCCAGCCTCACCCCCCGTCCCCCCCCCCCCACGACTGCGCACACTCTGCACGCTCTAAAAAGAGCTGGCCATAAACGCTCTCATTAGCACCTGGCCGGTCCCCTGGGGAGTCATCACTCTACACGGGATTGTAACTTTCAAACCCCGGCCAAGAGGCATAAAAATGCTGGTGCACAGAACCGTCCCGGGGGCGGGGCATCCCGGAGGACGGTCACGTGTAGGAAGCGGAAGTCCATCTCTCATAGCAGTCAAGAAGGACTGGGGTGTTGGGTTCCTCCGACCTGCATCCGTCCTGGTCCAAGGTGATGGCTACACCTGGGGATCCACGGCGCCTCTGCAGGCTGGTGCGGGAGGGCCGGCTGTGGGCCCTGCAGGAGGAGCTCCGGGCGGCTGGAGGGTGCAGGGGGCTGGCTGGGGACACCCTGCTGCACTGTGCCGCCCGCCACGGGCGTCAGGGCATCCTAGCCTATCTAGCCGAAGTTTGGGGTATGGACATTGAGGCCGCCAACCGAGACTACAAGCGGCCTCTGCACGAGGCTGCCTCTATGGGCCACTACGACTGCGTCCGCTACCTCCTGGGCCGAGGAGCAGCGGTGGACTGTTTGAAGAAGGCAGACTGGTAGGTGGCAAGAGTCCAGAAAAGCACTGCATCTCCACTCCCCGAGCAGTCATAGATTTTCGTGTATTCCCTTGGTATGGCCCTTTGATACCATAACCTTCCTCACCTTCTAGTTCTCACAGCAACCTTCCTGCCCTCCTGGGGTTAGGTATTTGGTAGGGCAATCTCTTCCTGTTGTGATAGTATAGAATATAATCAATTGGAATGTAATCAGTGAATTCTACTACTCCTGTCCCCAGGATGTGATGTTTGGGGGGGACGACACATTTGGCTAAATTTGCGTCATTTTAATTGGCAGGGCTGCAATGGATAGATAACAGTTAATATGGTGCAGTTACACGTGCACTGAGTATTGAACTGTGCAGCTTTTTCGCATCCAGCCTTGCATAGCTACCAGCAGCACAATGCACATACTTTCCTTTCATACCAAATCGATCTCATTTGCTTGCTAGGTTGACATTCCTTTTAGTACTATGTCTGCTTCCTCAAAGTCTGTGAACCTCTTAAAGTGCAAATGCCTTCAAGTGATTCCAAATCTGTTGTCAAACACAGGGGCCAAGGACCTATACTGTTAATTTCAACACTCAGGAGCCAGCCAGATGGAGCTCTGTGAGACTGAGGCCAGCCTGGTCTACATAGCAAGTTCCAGGCCGGCTAGGACTACAGTGAGATCCTCTATCAAAAAATAAAAAACAAGGGCTGGAGAGATGGCTTAGCGGTCAAGAGCACTGACTGCTCTTGCAGAGGACCAGGGTTCAATTCCCAGCACCCACATGGCAGCTACAAACCATCCTTAACTCCAGCTCCAGGGGAATCCAAAGCCCTCTTCTGACCTCCGAGGCATTGCACAACATGGGTGCACTCACATACATGCAGGCAATACACTCATACACATAAAGTAAAAATAATAAAATATTTTTAAAAAGGATTTGGGAAACTAGCTTGGTGATAGCACACTTGCCTAGCATGTATGAGGCCCTGTTTGATTTCAGCCTGTCAAGGGAAAAAAAAGAGAGAGCCATATAATAAAATACATTCCCCCCCCTGTGGTGAGGCAGACTGGTTGAATTTTGAGCATCATCTGTGTTTTTTCTTAGTTTCTGAGTTCACTGCTTCGCTCATAAACAGTTTTTGTCCTCCAGCTAACCCACTCCTATGGTCCACATTCACAGTCATTCTCTTGTTAATTTCTCTTGACTCCCCAAAGCAGGCAGAGGGTGACAATCAAAGGTGTTTCCTGCCTCCCAGACCCCTGACTGCTCCAGGGTTTCCATCTATGTCAAGGATATGCATTTCCTGAAGGCCTGGCTGCTTGTTTCCTATGTCTCAGCTGCTCTCCATCTGACAGCTTGTCCTGGTTGGCCTTAGGACTCCTCTGATGATGGCTTGCACAAGGAAGAACCTCGAGGTGATCCAGGACCTTGTGGAACATGGCGCCAATCCACTCCTGAAGAACAAAGATGGTTGGAACAGTTTCCACATTGCCAGTCGAGAAGGCGACCCTAGGGTCCTCCAGTACTTGCTCACTGTCTGCCCAGATGTCTGGAAGACAGAGAGCAACATCAGAAGAACGCCTCTACACACCGCAGGTACGTCCTGCAGCTCTGCGGCAGGCACACCTGCTGTCTGCTGTATCCCAGCACTGCCTGCCTTAGTTGTCTTGTTCAAGTCACCTGCAGGGAAACAGAAAGCAAGGCACAAGAACACCTTGGGATCTCTGGGCAAGCATACCCCTTCCTACTTAGTTAATGCTAGTTCTGTTCCTTCTAAAGTATGAGACCTTGGGTAAAGAACTTAGTGTCTATCTCAAGCAAATGCTCTCATCAGCAAAAATCATCATCATAATTGCTCATGTGTAGAGCTGTCCTAGAGTCTAAATTAGGAAAAAGCAAAGTTGGCATGATGTCAATGAGCTCAAGAGTCCACAACAAGAAAAATGGAAAATAAGCCAGACAAAATGCTGCATGTCTGTAATCCTAGCACTTGAGGCTAAGGCAGCAGGATCACTGCAAGGTCAAGGCCAGCCTGGGCTATGTCGTAAAAATCCATCTCACCTCAAAAAAAATTTTTGAAAAATAATCTTTAGCCTTCTAGGTAGTACATTGAATTAGCATATCAAGCTTTGACTTTCTCTAAAACCTAATACCTGAACTATTATGTAGTCTAGATAACATGGTCCAGTTATTCTCTAGCCATAATTAAAATCCTTTCTAAAACTTTGCAGATATGTAGAGAAACACTCAGTTAGCTCATAAACTACTCTGCTAGCTGCCCCATCACACACACTCCCCAAGACACTCCCTTGAAGAGTCTAAATGGTTAGGATTGAGTGATCATTCACCCAAAATAAATGGAGGTCAGATAGTCAGAAGCTTTATTGTTGAGCATAGTTATCTTTAGTAAAAGGAGTAAATTCCTGGATATTTCATCATAGATCACTATTAAAATGTTTTTACAGTTTTCTAGACAGGAACTGACAGGCCTTTGAAATTCGCAGTATAAAAAATGGCAAGATAAATTTCAGATTGGAAGTGTACTGTGAAATTGCTCGTAAAGATAAGATGTATTTGTTTTGAAATATTTATTTATTTTGGGGGCTGGGAATGAAACCTAGGGTTGCATATGCTTGTCAGACGTACCACCTATGAATGACCTCCACAACCAAATGTGCTTCAAGTGTTCACTATAAAGTTCTAATTCTCAACTCTCTCCCCCCAGCGATGCATGGCTGTTTAGAAGCAATAAAGGTGCTTCTCAACAGGTAAGAACCACATGGCAAGGAGTTACGTTCCATGTTGAATAGGGAGGGCCAACAGAGTCAGCCTGACAGAAAGACAGACTGTACAAGCTGGTAGACCAGTGGACATTGAAAGGACTTGCAACATCCCTGTAAGTGTGTAATGGGGCCGGAGAGATGGCTCAGAGGTTAAGAGCCCTGGCTGATCTTGCAGAGGACCTGGGTTCAGTTCCCAGCACCCACATGGTGACTGATGACAATCCTTAACTCCAGTTCCAGGGGATCCAACACCGTCATCTGACCTCTGCACACATTGCACAACACCAGGGCACTTGCATACATGGAGACAAAACACTCCTAAATTTTAAAAAAAGGTTTTTTTAAGAAAAAAGTATATAGGGGCTGGAGAGATGGTCCTGCAGTTAAAAACACTGGCTACTCTTGCAGAAGACCTTTATACGGTTCCCAGCACCCACATGGTGGCTAACAACCAACCGAAACTCCAGTTCCAGGGGATCTGACGCCCCCTTCTGGCCTCCTCAGGCATTATACAACACAGGTTCACTTACATTCAGGCAATACACTCACACATAAAAAAATAATAATTTTTTTAAAAAATTTAAAAGAAAGAGTGTATAGCTGGGTGTGGTGGTGCACACCTTTAATTCCAGTGCTCAGGAGGCAGAGGAATGCAGATCTCTGTGAGATCAAGTTTAGCTTGGTCTCCATAGTGAATCCTAGGGATACAGTGAGATCCTGTCTCAAAAAAAATTTTTTTTTAGTTAATTAAAAAATTTTTTTTAAAGTGTGTAACAAGAAAACACAGTGTGCCTCTGAGTAAGGATCTCTGCACCATCTATTTCCAAGCTGTTGTTGGGCAGAATAACAGCTGCATGTGAGGCGCAAGAGAGCTTTTTACACCAGTTAAAACTGAAAGTTCAGGTTATGCTGGTCTAAATGGGAAAAAGAACATCTGGACAGAGTTTTGATTTTATTCTAAGCACACGAGATGCTTTTCAAAACTTTTAAGCCAAGGGTAGTAAGAAAGTAGCAGTTTTCAAAAATCATCATTCCCCCAGTGGCAAAATAGAAATGGACTGGGGACAGGATTCTCTGAAAGTCTGATAAGGCGGATGCAGTAAAACAGAAATGATGGCAGCTGGCCCAAGGAAATGACTATGGGGGTGGAGACGTGGGTTGGGAGGTCTGAAAGGCTGAACCAGCATAACTAAGTGAAGAATTTGATAACGGGTATGCAGCTCAGTGGTGCGTGCTTGCCTAACATAGGTGAGGCTGTGGAGTCCATCCCCAGCACCACAGAAAGTAAATAAAGGAGAGTAGGGGCATCAAGGATGGCTTTCAGGGTATGGCACCAGTGCCATTTGTCAAGACACTGAGCCCTGGAAGAGGAGCAGGTTTGGGGAGAAGGTTGCTAATTTCATTTTCTGCTAAGTTGAGTAGCTATAGGCCTGTGAGATGCCCAAGCGAACAGTTCAGGTAGGCAGAGACACGGACAGGCAGATGCAGCTGTCAACGATTGGCGTTGACAAACGATTGGCGGCTAGAAGTGGGAAAGATAACCTGGTTAGAGAAGAGCACTCAACCCTGGGCCCCAAACGTTGATATATCAAGAATTTACAGACCACAATGGAACATACATATTTTTCACTCAAGAAACATTTTTCAATCACCTTCATGCGTTAGACCTGTGTGATGAAGTAAAGCACAACCCTTCCTCTAGTGGAATCTGTAGGCTGATGTGGACAAGTATAGTTGAATAATTCCACAAATATCCTAGAATTACAAGGCTATATGCAGCCAAGGCACACTGTAATCCGAGCCCTCCAGAGACAGAGAGGTAGAACATGAATTCCAGGCCAGCCTGGGCTGCATGGCAAGACACCGTCTCAAAAAAAAAATTTTTTTTTTCTAGAATTGCCAACTGTAATACTGCAAAGGACAGGACAGTGTGCTGGGAGACAGCAGAAGTCCTGTAGCTTGAAGGTAATGAGGAAAGGCTTCTGATGATGTTCTGTACAGAATGTTCCAAGCAGAAGGCCCAATAGGCACTGAGGTAGGAAAAGGACTCAGCATTAGAAGACCAGGATGCAGGGCAGCACAGCATGCCCAGGTTAAGGAAACCTGGAGACTGGGTGTCATGTGCTTCTGTCCCTTGTAGTTCGAACTGGAATTTGAGATTTCATCTTCATGTAGTGGGGAGCAGTTGAGTATTTTAAGCAAGAGTGACTTTTATCCATTTACGTTTTGGAAAGTGGACCATGGCTGCTATGGAGAATAGTGGAGTAAGGCAGGGATCGAGGTGAGAAGAACATTAGGAGACCTGTTAACTTGTTTGTAAGGATGAAAGCAAGCGGATGAAGATGTTCTAAGTCACTGGGCTGCAGAATTAAGAGATTTAAATAATTCATTGAGAGAAGAGAAAGGCAAAGATGACTAAAAAGCTTCTAGCCTAAGATGCTGGAGAGGAGAATGTTATGCCAAATGGGATGGAGAGAGTTCAAAGAGGAGAAGACTCTAATGTTCTTAGCTCTTGTCATTTCGGATTTGGCTCTAGATGTCAGTATGAACCAGACTGTAGAGACAACTGTGGTGTTACACCCTTCATGGATGCAATTCAATGTGGTCACGTCAACATAGCCAAGCTGCTCCTCGAAAAACACCAGGTATGAATGTGGTTTTGTTTTTTCCTTTGGGTCTGACTAGAAGTTTTAGATCAGGAGATAAAGAGAATAATACATCATTATTCACATCCCGGCTTCAAACCCCAGCTCTTCCAAGTTGCTTCCAAATTTCTTGACCTTGAAGCATCAGTGCATCAGTGTTCTCATCTCTAAAATGGTAACAAAATTTAATTTCTTCAGAAGGTTCCTACAGGATTAAATAATGCTAGGGATGGACCTCAACAATAAAGTGCTTGCCTAGCATGCTCATGGCCCTGGATTTGATCCAGGGAGGATCCAGTCATGCAATGTACATAGAACACTTAGCAAATTAAGGATCCAGTAAATAGTAGCACTTTGATGGTAATAGCAGCAAATCGTCCCAACAGTACTGCCATTGACTCTTGACCACGTTTGGTTTGTGTCCTGTGAGAATCTTCTCAAAATATTCACAGACAACTAGGCTCCACTGAAACATCTGCAGGCTTATGGGTCCAGATCGCTCCACCTCTCACATACTTTGCTCTCTTCTGTCTGCTAGGCTTGCCCCTCAGCTGATGATAGCCTAGGAGCCCAGGCCCTGCACCGGGCAGCTGTCACTGGGCAAGATGAAGCCATCCGATTCTTGGTGTCTGATCTTGGCATTGATATAGATGTGAGAGCAAAGCCAACCCAGCTCACAGCACTTCACTATGCAGCTAAGGTCAGTTGGTTCTCATGACAGCGTTCTTCCTTAGGTTTAAAGGCCTTGCTGCACCAATGGCCAGCTCTGCAGTGGGTGTCTTTGACGCCGTCTCTATAAAGATTCCAATAGTCTCCTTAAATAGAAACCTAGTTTTTGTTTCTAGGCAAAAAATGGGGAGAGCTCTTAATTCTATGTAGTGCCTGGGCTTATGTGCTCTCCCAACTCCTATTTTTAGGAATAATGGTACTTAACACCATAAAGACCTTAACAGACGAAGGCCTTTTCAGTTACCTCCCAGTATGTGAAAGCAAATTCTAAAATTCCACTTTGGTTAAGTTAAAACTTGCATTAAAATAAATAAATAAATGGGGTGGTAGCGCATACCTTTAATCCCAGCACTGGGAGTTCGTGGGGACTAAGGTAGGCAGTCTTTCTGTGAGGTCAGGGCCAGCCTGGTCTGCATAGTGGATTCCAGCCTACCTAGGGTACAGGGAGACCCTGTCTCCAAAAAAAACCAAAAATAAATATGAGGCTGGAAAGATAGCTCAGTGGTTAAGAGCACTTGCTACTCTTGCAAAGGACCTGGGTTCAGTTCCCAACACTCATATAAGGGGTTCACAACTGCCTGTAACTCCAGCTCCAAGGGATTCAGTGCCGTTCCTGGGCACTTTCACATACATGTATATACACATAAATAGGTAAGCAATTTTTTTTTAATAGCCAGATGCGGTGGCACATGCCTTTAATCCCAGCACTCAGGAGGCAAAGGCAGGTAGATCTCTGTGAGTTCAAGGCCGGCCTGGTCTGCATAGTGAGTTCCAGTGAGTTGGGGCTACACAGCAAGACCCTGTCTCAAAAAAAAAAATTTTTAAAGAAGACCCTTGTATGAAATTGTTAGCTTTCTCTTATGCTGGATTTTAGAAGTTAACATCTCTTTGACTAGGGCAAGAAAATTGGATTTGCTGGTCTCTCCAATGTATAAAACATTAAAGATGTATGCAAGCATTTTATTAGGGGGAAAACTATTTTAAGTACAACAAGCTTCATATTCTGTGTCACTTAGAGGCCATGCGCCTTTACTTGGTTTTCTAGAAACAGGAGTAAATATTTTCTGATCCACTGCATCCCCCTATGGGTTTCTCTTGAATGCAGATGGGTAAGGACTCAGAGTAGACATGGGAACTGTGCTGGATAGCTTTAGTGTCAACTTGACACACCTGGGTTGAGGGAGCCTCAGTTGGAGAATTTCCTCCATAGGACTGGCCTGTGACCATGTCTGTGGGGCATTTTATTGATTGTTGTGTGATGTGGGAGGGTCCAGCCCACTGTGGATAGTGCCACCCCTAGGCAGGTGGGCCTGTGTTGCATAAAAAAGCAGGCTGAGCAGGGGCCAGGTGAGCAAGCCAGTAAATAGCATTCCTCCATGGCCTGTGCTCCAGCTCCTGCCTCCAGGTTCCTGCCCTGAGTTTCTACCTTGGGCTCCCTGATGAACTGTGACCTGGGAGATGTAAGATAAATAAACCCTTTCCTCCCAAAGTTGGTATTGGGCAGAGCATTTTGTCACAGCAAAGGAGAATCAAACCAGAACAGAGAGAAAAGCTGTTTCTCCATAGAAAGATTGAACCATATTCTAATGGGCTGGCTCACTAGACAAAGCATGGCTAAATGACTATAAATGATAAGGAGCCAGGAGGGTTTTCTTTATGAGAAGTTACAACCCTTTGTAGTTCCTCTAAGAGTACATATGCTTGGGAAATTTAGGAATTGTGAGTTCTACATGAATCCTAAGACTTTATACTGCTCACCTTGATAGAAACTTTTTTGTTAGGTAAATAATTTGGCATACAAAGGTGATCATCCATCCTGATAGTTGAATATTATGAAATATTTACTGATTTATGTTAGAATTGAGGGTGATGTGAATCTTCTTGAAGATATAAAAATTCAGGAGTTGGAGAGATGGGTCAGCAGTTAACAGATTGTATTGCTCTTGCAGAGAACCAGAGTTCGGTTCCCAAGACCCATGTCAGGCAGCTCCCAACTGCCTGTAACTCCAGCTCCAGAGGATACAGTGCCATCTTACAGGCCCCTGTACTCATGCACAAACCCACACAGACACACATATATAATTAAAAGTAAAATGAATCTTCTTTTAAAAAGGTATGAAAATTCAGTACTTGCAGTTGAATGCCTAAGGAAAAATACCTGATATGCATTAGAGAATGTGTTTTAAGGTCTGCTTTTGTCCTCATCATAGTGGTAATGGATTTATTTCAAAACTCAGGAAGGACAGACAAGCACAGTTCAAACTCTGTTATCCTTGGGTGCCGACATCAACTCTAAAGATGAAAGAAATTGATCAGGTATTACTACACATTTTAAAAAATATTTTATTTATTATTTTATGTGTATGAGTGTATTGCCTGTATGTATGTGAGTGCACCCATGTCGTGCAGTGTTGCGGAGGTTAGCAGAGGGCATTGGATTCCCCTGGAACTGGAGTTAAGGACGGTTCGTAGCCACCATGTGGGTGCTGTGAATCGAACCCAGGTCCTCTGCAAGAGCACTCAGTGCTCCTAACCTCTGAGCCGTCTCTCCAGCCCCGATACACACATTTTTATATTCAGATTATTGATTTGAGGCTGGGTGTGTAGCTCAGTGGTGAGCACTTGCCTAATGGGCACAAGGCCCTAGGTTCAACCCACAGCCCTGAAAACAAAACAACTTCTTCCTTAAACTAAGTTTTCTTCTGTTTGCAAAAACTATTAGAACTATTGGTATTGCTGTATGATGGGGAGTACTACCAGTTGCTACCACCCTTGTTACTGTTATGTTAAGCTATAAAAATACATGTGAATCTAATCCATGAGGGGACCCACTGTTGAGGTATTGTATAGATTTGGGGCTCAGGGATAGTCTCGGGCTCTTTTGCTGTATACACTGATGTCCTAGTTTGGTTTCTGTGTTGCTGTGATAACTCCAGTTCCAAGGGATCTGATGCCCTCTTTTCACCTCTACTGGCACTGCATGACATGGGTACATTTACATACATGCAGGCAACACACTCATACACAAAAAAATAAAAGTAATAAAAATATTTTTTAAAAACATGACCAAAAGCAACTTGGGGAGGAAAGGGTTTATTTAGCTTTCAGTTCTAGAGGGAGGGTCCATGATAACAGAGAAGCAAGGCCACAAGCTACAGCCATGGCGGCAGGTCACGGAGCTAAGAGATACATCTCTCACAGCAAACATGAAGCAAAGAGAAAGCACACTGGAAGTGGGATGACGCTGTCCGCTCTCAAAGCCGCCCCAGTGACGTGCTTCCTCCAACAAGGCCGCAACGCCGCACCTCCTAAACCTCCACAAACAGCACCACCAGCTGGCAAAAAGTGTTCAGATGCCTGAGCCCTTGGGGGACACCGCTCATTCAAACCACCGCAACTGGGGATCAAGCCCAGGAGCTGTGCACCTGGGCACGTAACCTGCCATTGATTTATGCCCCCAGTGCTGCTCAGAGCCAATTCTTAAGACTTGGACTTTATATTAAACCCTTCAGTTAGTATTACATAAACTAAGGCCTCTTACAAAGGTTCAGTGGCATCTTCAAGCTTCACAGACTCACAGGTGACCCATTCTCATTTACAAATGATAAAGGATAGCTGTTGCTGGTCCAGGCAGGGGTCCAGGATACTCTTGGACTCTGAGCACACAGGGATCTTTCAGTGCTAATTTCTATACCTAGAGTTGAAAGATCGGTCATCCAATTTTGTCACTACATTCTAATTCATAGTCATTTTTATTTACAAAGAGAATTCAGCAAAGCATTGGGAAAGTTTTGTGTACCATTAAAACCATGTTTAAATAGCACATGAGAGTAAGCCTCAGGCTAGGTGGTCGCCTGCTCCCCATTAATTAGAAAAGCCTCTTAGAGATTTTCTAGCTGGTTTATTATCTTTAGAAGGATCTTTCAACCCAATCAGACTTTTTAAAAATGTGATCCAGTATACACAGTCAGGGGGTAGGTAATAAAAGTATAAAATCTGTATAAATGGGGGGCCAACAAGATGATTTAGTGGGTAAGGGTACTTGTGGCCAAGCCTTATTATCTGAGTTCAATCCCTGGAATCCACATAGTGGAGAGAGACTCTTACAATTTGTTCTCTGTTCCTCAGGCACACCCCATGGCATGTATGTGTATGCTCATGCACATGTGTATGTACACACACACACACACACACAAATAAATAAATATATAATAACTATGAGGCTGAAGAGATGGCCCAGAATTTAAGAGCACTTGCTGCTCTTGCAGAGGACCCAAGTTTGGTTCCACCACCCATATGGCAGCTCACAACTGCCTGTAACTCCAGCCCTGAGAATCTAATGCCCTCTTCTGGTCTCCTCAGATACCTACATACACGTGGTGTACATGCATACAATCAAGCAAAATTCACACACATAAAATAAGTAACTCTTTAATAAATCATTGTAAATCTAATAACTGAACAGATAAATAGATTTCTTGGGTGCATTTGACTGACGAGGTCAGGATTGCTCCAGGGGTCACGTTGTAAGCACAGG